GCAGCTGCCGCTCGGCCTCTGCGCCCACACCGAGCCCCACACGCCGAGCACAGGCCCGAGCCCCTCTCCCCTGCCCGGCCAGAGGAATTCACCGGTCGGACTAATTGCAAACGCTGCAACGTCCTCACAAACAAGCAGAAGGCTTTTTTTGGGAGGGAGTGTTTGATTTTAGTCTCCTCCAAGCTCATTAAAATTTTCTTAAAGAAAATACAACTGTGCATGGGCTTGTTAAAGCTCTAACCTTTCCCAAATGCTGGTGTCAATTGAACAACAGATGGATTTGGCACAGCTTGAAGCCTCTTTCAGAGGGACAAGAATATCTATTTTAAATACAAACCTCATCTCTTCCTTGACTATCTGTCACTCTTCCATGCACAAAAGCCTACAGTGACAGCAAAGGATGGTGCAAAACAGCAGTAACTTTGAGGTCTTTCGTTATCCTCCTACTAGTCCATGCTTCCAGTTAGGGGGTTGAGCAAATTAAGGTGGGTATTGACAGAGCCCCGTGAGATGTCATAGCACGGCTGAGCACTGCAAATTCTTTTGCAAGAACGAATGCTACCAACACTACCAGCATTAGGTCCTGCCTGTGCCAGAGGGCACATTTCACAGCCTTTGCTGGACTTTTCAACCCGACACGGAAAGCAAATGTCCCCAGTTGCCACACGCATGCAGAGAGAGATGTGGTAAAGTTCCTGAAATACTTGGATATTGCAAGGATGAAGGAGTGTTTCTGAGCAGAAGCAACTGTTTAACACCCATTTCACCTTATGGTGCTTAGTTTAGGCAGTGGTTTTGTTCTGCTTTGAAATTGTCTCAGTGCTTTTAAGTAGATAGCTCAGTTTCTAGATGCCTCACACAGCCTGGGCTACCTAGTGATGCAATTTTCTGTCCTCAAGGGGAAACCCAGAAACACCCCAGGCTGCACTACTGCTTCCAGAAGCAGAGATGAGGGGCTAGACAGGGTGTGCTAATATAACCATCTTCTCCAAAGCCCGCTAGAATCACAAGGCAAATGAATCCCCCAGACACTGTCCTGCCCATGGCAGATCTCCATGGATGCCCTCCAGTCGCTCCTTGGGTATCCCACTGTATTCTGCCTGTCTCAGCTCTCTTGACCTCAATAGGCTCCACTTCTTCCCTCCTTGGCTTCTCTCTGATCTTCTTTGTCAACGCAAGTATTTTGTCCAAGACATCATTTCCCGGGAATGCAACCGGGAAGCCCTGTAGGCCCTCCAGTGAATCCTACTAATCCTCCAAAATTTCATGCATAGTTAAACACAAGTTTCCTTAGAGTTCCAGAGCATTGGGACAGTTGGATTTACAATTAACGTTCAGAGATGTGATAGTTTGAAAGTGAATATAACTACATCTAATCACATATTAATCATTTAGCTGGCACAGGAGATGCACAGCTCCAAACGGGAAAAATAATTTTAAAAAGTGAATAGGAACATGCATCCTTCTGGATACTTTGAAAAACATCAGGCTACTTTGAAAGCACCAGGAAATACCAATCCAGCAAAAACAGCAAGCACCATTCGCTCCAATCCCAAAATTTTAGGTCAGTGTAGGGGCAGCCATGCACCCCAGCAAGGATGGGTTAGGGGCAAAAAAAAATGTACCCATTTTGAAAGGAGAAAAGGTGCAATTTGCGAGGAAGATTTAAAGCACCAAAAACCCTGTTTTCAGTTCATGTATTACACTAGACCCACCCAGTACCACGTCAGCCCCAGCACAGCTGCACCCAGCGCAGTTCAAGAAGAGGCTGCAGCTCCTCCAAGGGCTGCACAAGGGAGCGCCAGGTCTTCAATGTGACAGGACTCGGGTGGCCGAGCGATCGGGCAAGGGCTGCAAACTGGCAGGTCTACTGTGGAGGGATGGGTGAGAAAAGCAATGCTGGAATTCAAGCAGGCGAGTGGGAAAGTGCACTCACTTCCACATCTTTTTCTGTTTTGACTTGACTTTTGCTAGTTCTGACAATCTTAGCAGTTCCAAACTCTTTAACTGCGTTATGTCCAAGAATTTAACAAACATGGTGATAGCAAGGGAACGAGCTCAGAGATTCATCACCTTAGAAAACTTCAAAAACCCAAAGCAGAAAAAAGCCGAATAATACACAACAAAGCAACTTTTGTTGTTGTTGTTGTTATTTTATTGATATTAGTGAAGAAATTTTAAATTTCATCGTTCTGATGTGTTACAATTGCTTTCTCTGGTGGGTGGACAACTCCTAATGCTTATTTAAAGGCTAAATAATACTTCCCAATTCCATCCTTAACTTCTGCATTTTAAGTTCTCATGTGGTATTGCTTTCTTCCTCTGGGTACGTAAAATGGTCCATTAAGTCCATGATTTTTCAGAATCACCTGTTATTCTATCTACTGTTTTAAGATACATTCAAATAAAAAGATAATTAAATTTACTTGCAATAAGTGCACACATACAACAGCAGAGCTGATGACATTTTACTAAAACATTTTAAGTTCGTAGAATAAATAGAAGTCTTCAAACACAGGCAGTAGTTGACCAATGTGTTTTTTTTTCTTTCCCAAAAATATCCTTAGTGTCCATAGCGCTACTGTAATAACTACTTCACTAAAAAAAAAAAAAAGGGAAAAAAAAAAGAGAAAAACCACCCATCTCTCGTCACACAGACCAAAAGACAGTTTCAGTTATACAGGAAATTATCAGTGCTGACGATTTAGTAACAGTCTGGTACAAATGGCAATTCATGGCAATTACATGTAGTGTAATCACGGTGCCGACAGCCAGGGAGCTTGGTTTGAAGGTCGCAAGGACGGCGAGAACAGACGTTGACCCTCGCCCCTGCTTGCTCCCCTCTCTCCTCTCCTCAAACACAACAATAAAAAGGTCTCCATTGCACTCTAGAAATGAGCTCCATCTTGTCCTTTTCCATTCATTTTTCAAGCACCTAGCAGAAGTTTGGGAGAAACGGAGGAGAGAATTCCAACATAACTTAAGGTCTCTTGGCTGCAACCAAATGAGGTGTGAGGTCTTTTGTTTTCTTCCTGAAAGGCAGGGTTTGTGGGTTTTTTTTTTTTTTTGGCTTTAAAACTTGATGGAAATAGATTTTTGCACACTTTTACCTCTGCTAAGGTCAAACTTTGGATGGAAAAGGCTTATTTGGAAGAAAAAAAAATCCCACAAGGCAGGAAAAGGATAGGAAATATTCTCACCTTGCTTACAAGGCCACTTAACAAGCAGTCCTTGACATAAAGCTTGCAGACAATCTGATCCTCAGCTGCTTTTCCAGCTTGTGCCATGCCATTACTAAATGTCTGTGTGGCTCTGCTGAGGTTTCAAGGACACCTCTATGCTAACACTGGTTTTGCTACACGTATTTTCATGACTCCCTAGGAAGTCGGCTGCCACAGTGACCCATCGGATGTGAAAACCGCTTTGTCTGGGGGCCCGGGCAAAGCGGGTTTCAGCTGCAGCAGCAGCACGTGGTGAAGCATCTTCCCCGCCACGGTCCAGGGCAGCACTGAGAAAACAGAACGAACCAACCACCCGAGCAGCCACACAGAATACAGAAGGGCCAAACGAAACGGCAGCGGCAGGAATACGTCGATGTTCCAGGTACCCAGCAGGCCTGCCAACTTCCGCGCGGTGTTAGCTCAAGTTTATCGTGACTACGGGGAGGAAGGGAATACAGGAGAGAACAAGAAATGTCTTCCGTTCAGGCAAAACGGCCAGGCACTCCAATAACTTAGCTCAACTGATCTACAAAGGCAAAGTCAAAATGACCAAATGCTAAACTGAGAGCTTTCTTCAGCACGTACCAAAGCACAGGGAGCTCCCACGCTTCACGGGATGTTATCTGAGGTCTCATGTAATGCATTCAACCTCCCCATGGGGCCTCCAACTGCCAAGTTAGGCTAGCTACAGAATTCACCTTTTTAGTCAAGTTATTTTTTGTTTTTTTTTTTTTCTTTTGTTTCTCAGTGCATCTTAAAAAAAAAAAAAAAAAAACTTTTCAAAAGGTTAGCCAGTTAACCTTAATACAGCAATCACAATGTAGAGCCTTTTGCACTCAATTGAACAGTAAAATAATCCAATTAGTTACAATCGATCTGGTATATATTTACACATTTTGTACAAATTTTACACATTTCTCCCATTAGGCACAAAGTTGATTTGTCAAACTCGAGAGGCAATGAAGGGCCAGGGCAAAAGGGGAAAGAGGACTGGAGAAGAAATCTCAGTATTTTTATTTAAAAAGACTAGCTGTAAAAATAAGTCCTTCATCGTAAGCTAGTTTGCTTCGGGAGCTTGGTTCCCATGAGGATTCCCGAAGTGAGGGATGTTGGGCCTTTCATCTGCATGCTGGAACCCACCATGGTGGGGAAGCTCCGGTTCCTTCGGATGCCTGTGTTCAACTGGATGCCCCCGATGGCACTTGTCACAGCAGGGCAGCCCAATGGGAGACCATCTGATGCCAGGCCTCCAGGAACAAGGGCCCTCACTGGTCCTTGTGCCCCACAGAGGAGAGGTCCCTGGTCATCAGTTAGAGGAGGAGCTGGCATGTGCCCTGTACTCACGACTTTGGCGATGCCAAACCTCTTGACTTTGTCCACGAGATTAAGGTTGGAAACAGACACGTCAGTCTGACTCTCAATGTTCCTGATGCTCTTTTTGTTCCTCACCTCCTTCAAGATCGAGCTCGCAGGCTTCGAAGCCAAGAAGTTGTCATAAGGTGGGCTGGTGCACTTGAATTCGAAAGACGGAGGAGACGACGACGGTGTCTGCATAGGTGAGTTTGGGGGAGTGGAAGGAATGATGGCCATTTTAGGGGAGTAGGCATTCAGGAGGGTGCCTCTGCTGGCTCTGTCCCAGCTCTGCGGATTGTACACTGCTGCCGAGATGCCCCTTTCCTTCAACAGCCACACCAGTCCCAGGGACGTGCTCATTGTCGTCGTGGATTCCCGGAGGTTGGTGAAGGATTCGGCCAGGCTCAGACGCCGAGGAGTGCAGGGAGTACCCACTGGGGTGCCTTTCAAGTTGCCAATGCTGCCACAAGCTGGAGTAGGTGCTGCGTTAAGGCTGAAAGCAAAGGAAGAGTCAAATTAATCTCTCTACTGGGACACTAAAACTTACTGCAAGATTTTTAACCCTGAACATGAATTCTATCCGCTTTGAGGGTGCACAGCAAACTGACATTTCCCAGGTCCTCACAAACGCGATGGCAAGTACAAGAACATCAAATGCAACTCTTCATTTAGTATACTTTACCAGCCAATACAGCAACCAAAGGATTAATACATTCCCCAGCTCTACCTTTATATTGATGAACTGTTAGATCAAAAGGTTTGTGATCAATAGCTTCCTCCAGGGATTTTTTTCCCCTTATGTCTGTCCTAACTCCCAGTTGCTTCCATTAGACAAGGAAGCAGGGAAAGGAGGACTTCGACTAATAATGTAGGATAAATTTGCTTTATTGTGTCAGTTCTGAGCACACAGAAATTCTAGTCATACCAGTAATGCTGGATCATGGCAGGGCCAACAGCAAGGAGGGGAGGGAACATATTTGTTCCAGCAGCACTTACAGGAAAGTTGCTGCAATTGGGTATTGCTACTAACAGGCACCTCTGTAAGGACAAACACTGTTTCCCTTCTTATGTTTTGCTGAATTTGATGATACTTAACAGAAGACGATGGGTGATCTGACTTTTGAAGGAGATGAATGTTGGTAGGAAAAAATCATCGAAAGAAAAAATACAGTGAAGCTCTTGGCTATCAGCTAATGTGCAGCTAATAACTCTGCAACAACCAAACACAGCAAAGAGCCATTCTACTGTTAACTCAGTGCAAAATTAATTTCTACAGTTTGAAACAAGGTTTAAACTTCCACCAACTCTAGTTCTTTCTTTTCAGAATAAGCTATATAGAGGCAATGGATGAGAAGATGTAAACAGAGAATTAACACACACATTTAAAACTGACAAACATTACATATGTGTTTATTGCTATGTTGTTGCCTTCTTAAAAAAAATAGGCACACTACTGCTGGTTATTAGGGTTTGGTATTTCTTGAGGCATACCAAATACCATTCATTCTGGAACATTATCCTCTGCCCATAAACCAGTCACACAGATGAACTTAGCATTCATCTCCAAAGAGATGCACAAGGGAGTTGTTCCAATTCCTCCACCCTGCTGTAAGAGAGCTCAGGGATACTGAGGCTTTAAGTGTTTCTCATACTACAGAGCCACCCTTATGACCAGCTTATTGCTGGTTATAGATCAGGATATCCACAGCATGCTTACCTATAAATAACTCCTACTAAAAATGCACGACAGTCCAAGAAATATCACCCGCTGCCTTACCCTGTTATTTTACAGACAAGGAATGAAAATCACACCAACTTCATGTCTGTCTAGGAGAATTCCAAAGGTTCCCTGAAGCTTTAGAAAAAAACTTTCCAAGATTTTCTAATCATGTGGAAATACTGCTTTTTTTGGTCACATACAAAATGAATTCCACAGTAAAGTTGCACAGGTATGGATTCTTCTCTCTAATGGCATTTGAAGGGTCATGAACAGTGCCATACTGATGCAAACAGAGTTCACAGACTTAACTCAGCACTGCTGAAAGAAGGAAATCTTCCCCTTTGTCTTGCCAGGTGAGGAAGCAGAAGACACTCAAAGATCAACACAAGCACCAAAGCCAATTCAAGAGAACAGGAAAGCTAAGCAGCTAGGTGCAGGCATAGGGAAAAAAAAAGACTGGGATCTCTGCTTTTCAGCAGAGTCAAGCTGTTGGGTGGGCTCCACCACAGCAAACAACTTGGTTCTCTCCATCAAGAAATGCAGGAAATAGTAACAATAGGGCAATTTGGTTGATTTTTTTTTTAAGTGTAGAGAAGCCTCAGATCAATAAATGAATTTCATCCTTTTTTGTCTATATAAGCAAAAGGGTCTCGGTTCATCTTGACCGGAATTCGCAGTCTCAATTTACGCCTGACGTTTATGAGCTCTGTCATGTCAATGCTATTGTGTACCTAAACTTAGACACCCCAGAATTTTTTGTTCTGAGCCCCATGTCAATCTTAGAAACCAGTCTCCTGGTATTTAGCAGTCAGGTGTCAGGAGCTTAAATAAGACTACAAACTCTGGCCCAGTGATCTCCTGAAAATCAACAGCACTTCAGTATCTTTAAGACACACTTTAATAAAGAGAATATCGGCCTGATGTTATGACATCTTAAGTCATGTCTTCTCCCCATGGCTAAATAGGATCTGGCCAAGAGGATCTCTACAGTGATTCAGTACTGAACCAACCTCTACTCCATGGGAGTGCTACTGCTGATGGGTTTTGCACCACAAGAGGATTCAGCAAGAGGAGTCCCATATATTCCTACACATAAGTGACATTGAAACCAGAGCTGGAAAGAGCGCCTGAAGGTGTCACCACTCGAGGAACAGCAGGGCCTGAACCTTGTCGTCTTGCACCGCCTTGTGGGTTTGGGCTGTCAATGCATGTGGCAGACGGGCACTAAAATGTCGTGAAGGCGTCTGGGGCGGCAGCACTCGGGAGCAGCGCCAGACACTGTGAGGTATCTGGCTAAACGGAGAGGCACAGAAGGAGGATTGGAAAGCACGAGGGAGGGAAAAGACAGAGGAAGGAACTCACTCTGGGGACATACTCTGACTTTCTATAGTGCAGGACCACATGCATTTCGGAAACTCAGACACGAACATTAGTTACCAGGCCTTTCAAATTTCCTAGTTACAAGACAAAAACTTTAGGACACTAGTAGCTTATAATTCCAGTAGCTTCATTCCTTCGAGCTCCAAGGTTTCAGTCACACAAATACTTGGACTAGAATTTCTACTAATTTGTCAGGTACACAGTGCAGCGAAGACAAACAACAAAACCTCTGCAAGAAAGCATTCGTTATGCTGCTGCCACTTTGCTTGCTTGCTTGGGAATCGCTTTAAGTGGGAAGTGCTTTCCCCATCAGACCAACCAACACTGCAGGACAGCCAAGACACAACCACAGAAACAGACCCAAACTGGCCACAGCAAGTGAGCCCAGTTAGATCCAGAGAGAGCCTCCGAGTTAGATCCAGGAAAGACACAAACAAATGAGCACCTCACTTAGATGAAATTTAGTCAGGTTAGAGCGTAACCTGGATTAGAGGTTAGGACAAAGTGCAGTCAGGTAGAGGAGCCTCTAAGCTCTTTGGGTTAGCTGGTGCCACACGCTAGCATTCCTTGAGCGTGACCCTGCCGAGGCAGGCGCTGCCGGCAGCGTTGCTCACCCCCTGCCACGCTGGGTCATAGCGCCTGCCCTACATCTCCTCTCAGCATAACGTGACATAAGGCAGCTTCCTCGTCCTCCTCACATGACCTGTGAAGAATCATTTACAGTTTAAGGAGCTTCTCCTTACCATGTCTGCTGAAAAACATCACATTATTTATTTGGGTTACTGAAAGCAGCTGTCAGTTTTGGTTTGTTACATTTAGTAACCAATACAACTGAGTTTATTATAACCATGATTAACAGCAATCCATCATTAAAAAGAAGAAAAGAGATCTCTCTTGGCTGCAACAAGAAATTGGGAAGTAACAACACGATGGGAAGTAACAGCATTGAATGGGAAGGAAAACAGAAGACAGAGAAGAGAAAAATCAGCTGGGCCACGATGAACTAGCTTCCTTCAGAAAGAGAAACAGAAATCACATGTCATGACCACCTATTTCCTTTCCAGGTATTTATCACCTTGCAGGTGCCCATATTTAAAACCCTTACTTCTCCCTTAGGTAACCAGTGCCCCACTGCTGTCTAAACAAGCACAGCTGCATCATTTGTGAGCAGGTGCCTACCCAACGGCACACTCCCACATAGGAGCCGAAAAGGACAGAGAAGGCACTAAGATACTGTCTTTATAATCAGAATAAACACACTTAACTGATTTCAGATTTGCTAAGGAAGGAAAGTTCACTCTTCAGGTACAAAAGTCATTCACCATTTCCAATTCTAGGTCTTTACTTTCCAAAAGGGTTTGCCGATACATGCTTATAGCTCCTATGAAAGCAACTCACTAGCTTCAGTCTAGCTGCTACTAATTCATTTCAACAGCTGCACCAAAGAACACAGTAGCCAGTTCTGTGTTTGTGATTAAGTAATGTTCCCTCTGTTCCTCATGTACTCTGTGGACCCCAATGAAGCATGTTATTGCACTTCTTTACTTGCTTCTGCCTTTTTCTTCTGTGTTTTAATTCTTCCTCCCTGAAAGGCACTCTTCTCTGTTTAGATGAGATGGGGAATGCATACTTTGGTCAGTGCAACGGCAAAGACCATTCATATAGGGCCTGTAACTTGTTCTGGTGCAAAAGCAATCAAAAGCAGCAGCAAAAGCCAGCTTAGTTATATCTGATTCTGCAATTCTTAAATTACAGAATAAAAAACAAGGTATTTTGGTTGCCTCTGCAAAGCATCATATATGCCTCTCAAATAAAATCAAGTTGGATGAACTAGACATGAGAAGAATCATTTGAGGGGTCTGTTATATTCCACCAACATGGCTAATGCTTTTCCTTACACCACTGCTTTTCATGTCCTCCGTGGGGGAACTCTGATGGAGCTGACTTAGTTTGGGCCACGACAAGAAACCCTTACCTTGGAGTGACTCGTGTGAGTTCATCAGAGGGGTGCAGAATGCGGCAGGTGGTGAAGGTGAAGGTGGAGTTGGTTTGTGACATGCACTTCCCAGGATGAGGTACTAAATTAAAAAAAAAAAAAAGCAAATTCTTTGCATTTTGTACACAAAAAGAAAGAAAAAACTTCTGCGTGTTGGTACGACAGATGCAAAAAGTGATGAGGTACCTCACACAGGATCAATGCAAGAAAAGCAAAACACATGAGCATTATAGTATTCCAAGAGATACTTTTCTCCAAATAAGGATATCCAGGACTCCAAGGCCAGTACTGAAAAGCTGTGCTGAAACTTCCTGACCACTAAAAGTGCAAGCAAGTCTTGCTCAAAACAGCTTTAGACAAGATAGTCCTTGAAATGCTAGTTCTCATCCAAACCAGCAGCTTTTTCAGTAGGAAGTTACAGCAGATGTTTGCTAGGACCAGCCCAGGAGCACTAAGGCTTTTCTGAATGCTCGTGCATTTCAGGTTTTAGATTGATCCACTAAAAGGTATCCCCATTACTTTTCTTTTCAGTAATGGATCCAGCTTGCTAATGCTATAGGAACACACATTGAAGAGTCGGGTATGAGGGATCTGCATAGTGCTTATTTCTCTATTCAGCTTTTCCCATCTACCATTATAGACAGGCAGCTGTTTGGATCCACTACTGCACATCTGTAACAATTCTTTTGTGCATGTGTTTTTAAGGTTGTTTAAAAACGTATGCCCTCAGCTGCACTATGTAGCATTCTTCTTTGTTTTTTTGTGAATAGTTTTTGAATATTTGTGAATAGTTCCATCAAACACAGCTGTAAAGATGTCAAATTATCAATAATCGGGGAAAGAAGCAACACAATTCAATATAAAACAAAGCAAAAAACAAAGCACTTGAGCCAATTTTTTGTTTTGTTACAACACTTTTGTAATTTGCTGTACAATGCAGCTGTGGACACTGCAAAATAATTAGAAAATTTAAGAGCCATGCATCTGAAAAGCTGATTGAAAAACACTCAGAGTTAAATATTGTATCAAAAATATCATGATTGCGTAGGTTATCTTACTTAATAACCAAAATTAGCTGTGATCAAAAGACATGCACAATAAAAACTGTGTGCAACTCCCTCCCTCTCAGTTCTGCCCAACCCTCTGAGCCATTCCCTTAGTAAGCCACATTTTAATACCACAGTACACAACTATTAACACATTGCAAAGGACAGACAGACAGACCAGCTGGACCAGACACCATTCTGAAATTCCAGAGATGCTTAGCAGAAGCAAGGCAAGTCTTAATTGTGGCTGTGTTCCCTTTTTCATTTATTAAAAAAAAGTATCACAGCACAAAAATAGTGTGTGCAGTTGGGTAGTCCTTTAAGGACACAGCAGATCAGCAGTGTGTGAAGGGTAGAGCATGGGGAGTGTGAACCGTGGAAGCAGAAGTGACTGAGCAAACGTGTGACTTGAGCTAACTTGTCCATCCAGTCAATGTTAGAGATGTATCACTATGCGTTAAAGAAAGATATATATATATAAAAAAAAAAAAAACCACCCATACTGGAGTGTCATGTTAACACACTGAAATGTCAGCACAGCATAACATAACAATAAGCTCTACTTCACCTCCAGAGACGGTAATTATGATGCTTCAGGAATCCAGTTGCTTTAGAGATTAGTATGAACAATATAAAAGCTATTACAAGGGAGCACAGCCTAGCAATCATGATTCTCTCCATATCGTAGAGAGTTAAAACAAAATCTGGAGAAAAAGCTGAGGTAACTGGACATGAAAAAAAATGGTTATTTAGCAAAAAGAGGACTTAGACATAACTAAGCAGAAACAAAGCAATTCTCCCTGGATGATGAATAGAGAACAGAGTAAAGCAAATGCTAGCTTAGGATTGCAAGCTCAACCCAAAGAAGCACACAGCTGTAATACAGAAACTGTATTTCCCAGTTTGTAAAATCCATTGGACATTCTGATTGGAAACAGGCACATTGAAGATATATAGCTGCATTAGCAAAAGCAAGACTCATTGCCATTAATGAGTCTGAGATAGGAGAAGGCTGCTAAAAGTAGAGAAATCATTGATCCTAGTAAGAGGAGGCAAATTTAAGTGATCAAAAAAAATTAAAATCAATTTCCAAAGATGTATTCCACCCTCAAATACCACTAAGAAAGTCCTGTACCATCTTCATCCTCCTTCAGTCAACAATGGGGTGTATCTTATTGCTGTTGCATTTTCCATCCTTTGGATGTAATACAAAGACAGTGAGAACCTGTTGCTGTAAACGAACAAAGTTCATAAAACGGAAACAAAATGATTCATTCCTAGCAGAACAGTTTTAAATAAGAAAGATCAAATCCTGAAATGGAATAAACTGAGGAAGAAGTAGAATGTAAGTTTATAACTAGAAAAACTATCTTCACATGTACAGCAAACCATTGTTTTATATATAAAACTAAATCATGATGAAAAACAGTGCAAAGTTTAAAGGGAAATCCTTTTCAGTATGCAAAACTTATCTTTCTAGTCAAAGATGTGCAACTCCAATGGGTAAAAGGTTTTATCCGCAGGACCCTTTTTCATCTGTTTTATACAGATTCAAGTACAGGAACACCTGTTCCATGTGCCCAAGGGTGTAAGCAAATACTTTTTATTATACCCTCTTATTCAAAGAAGTGGATGGTTAACAACAAAGGTTCACATCTGCATGAAAAACCATTTGTACATAACACAATGTTTAACAAAGAGTACAGAAATTACATGACATTTTTGCATCGGGAAACCACAAAGCAAACTCTAGGTGGATTTTCCTGCCAAATTCAAAATCAGACTAAAACTTTGTCATTGCTTTTAAACTCTCTCAATCATTTCTTAGGCATTTCGGAAACAAAGAAGCACAGCCAAAATAGAGTCTTCTAAGCACAAACACTGCTGCAAAAGCATGCTGTAAAGTACTGCAAAATAGGCCCTAATCTAGAAGCTGACTGCAGAGCTCCATCTTCTGGCCAAGCACAGCCCCCAGCTCCTCAAAGCTGATTTTACCCAGCCCAGAGCTTTTCTCAGGTCCTACTTGAAGACTCCGAGCTTACAGGCGCCCAGTCTGCTTGGTGCTGGCAGCCTAATGGATGAGTTTGGGACACATCCTTCTGCTCAGGGAATCCTCATAGAAACACTGGACCTGGGTTTTCAATCAGCTCGTGCAGAGAAAGATTCAAAGTTAGAGCAAATAGCTCTAACTAGAACTATAAAGGTCATTTTCCAGTGGTATCATTTGGGATACAGGCTAGAGGCTTCACTTTTGGCACTCTGTGCCAGCAAATCCATTCTCAGGCAAGGAGAAATTCCTGAAAATCAGGTGGCAGAAACATGCCATGAAAGCAGCCAGGGCAGGACAAGATTGCTGCTTCAGGAGAGGTCACCCCCTCCTGCTGATAGGAGGTGAAGATGTTGATGCCCAGCGCTACCCGCACTGAAAACCCTTGGCTGAGAGCAGGGAGACTGTGGGATAAGTCTCTGGAGCGGACACATGCCTGCAGCACATCAATACATATTGCAGATTAGCTTAAATACATGCTGGACTGAAAACAAAGAATGTCTATAGGAAGGTACTTCACATGGGTACAAAATACATAAGCTGCAGTGTTGAGCCAGTCTGACTGAAAGCTGACAGTTAAAAAAACCACCTGTTTAAGTACAAGCATGCAAACAGCCGGTGCTGGGGTAGGGTTGTACGTATGTATTCCAAAACCTTTTTGTAGCAGTGAGTAGTAATGTTCAGAGAAGAAAGGCAAACAGAGGTTAACAACTGTAAGAACAAAACAGATAAACACAATAGCTGTAAAATCCACGTATGGCGCCATGCTGCAGCGGTGTAGGTGCCTCCTGAAAGAAATGTTCTTCAGTAACAGCGGTATCTGAATGCTCAGAACCTCCAAGAAGCTGCACTTCCATGTCACGAACATTACTTTTATGTTCCTTAAGCAAGTGACAATGACATTCTTTTCTGAAGATCTAAATTTCCAGACTTCCCATTTATTTTACCTTTCAGAACTACAAGACATTAAAAATTGAGCAAAGGCAAGTATTCTTTGGATAGGATATTTTTCGCTTTCTTTTGGCTGAGGTATGCTCATCATATGCATACAATCATGAAGTACAGATGTGAAAAGTTATGAATTTTATGCAGACTAGAGACCCGCATCGAACGTCTAACATTTTAACAAGCACAGAGCTTAAATGCTGACACTTTTCTCTTAAAGCAATAATGTATGAAATATTCATAACAGTAAAAAAGAAATATTTATATACACATCAATACCTTACTTCTAAGACAATTTATAACATTACTTTTCTATACAATGATAATCTCTGAAAAGCATCCTAATATAAAATAACTCAGACTTAAGGCATTTGTTATGTTTTCTCATAATTCTAGGCATTTATCTGGAAAGATCTCTATGCCACTGTTTAGGCTGATAAATGAAGTAAGGAGAGCTGATCCTGTACACCCACATGAACATTTTCCATTGAAAGCAAAACAAGTAAATCAATGGAACTAATAAGCAACAAGCCCTGAAGGATCAGTTCCTGTACCCAATTCAGCACAACCTGAATTGAATTAAACAAGAGTTGTTTCAGCTGCAAAATGGCGTTCAGACTTTGCACAAGACAACACGCACCTGAAAGACAATGAGTTAAAAAATAGAGTCTGTACATTTTTATGATATACTACAATTCCTTTTAAAGAATCAAAGCATACTAAAGTGACTAAAAAATCTGTGCTGTAAAAGATACATGTCCTAGATGATCTTTATACAACCGTCTCCTACAACTTCTTCACCATTCCAATTTTGGTGAAAGTCTCCATTCAAGTAACATAAAATTAAATTTATAATTCCCAATTAGGCTACTGAGCCCACACACAAGTTGTTGGTTTACAAAACTCCATCAAACCAACTGCAGGCCATAATTTATGCTTATATTCATTTCTTCCAAATATGCTCAGTGTCATATTCAGGATATAATCTGAATGCGTATTAAGGAAGCTACTTGACAGGCATATTACTGTTCGTAACTTTAGAAGAGAAAAAAAATAAGGACCATCACTTGTTCTTACCTAGAAAACAGAACAATACAAAATGATTTCTGACCAACACTCAGGAAGGAACAACTGATACTGTGCTCCTAATGTACATGATTTGGCTACAAGAGATCTTTGGCACTACTAGCAACATTTGCTTTCCTGGATCCAGACACTAAAAAGACTTCTTAAGGCTCATCTCAAATTGACACAGAGGAGCAGCACCTGAATGCACCCACGAAATGGCAGTAAGAATGGCACCTCACCTTCTTTGCCAAAAGGGTAAGAGTGAACCTTCAAAGCACACAGAGCAAGTGATGCAGACACCTACCGGGAAGGTTAACACGATGCACACCTGAGGGGAACGATCCTTGAAGACACTCCATTTCCTGCAACATTTTGCTCTAACACTAAAAGAGCAGCACTTGCAGCCTGGCAGACTCTGTGGCTTGCCAAAAGCAAGCGCAAGGAGGTACCTCCTGGTTTGTATGAACCTCTTCAACTGGAGTTTTCACATTGGAGCTCTCCTTGGATATAAAGGAAGACACTCCTGGGACTCCACCAGGTCCCGCAGGAGCGAGGTCACAGTCTTGCGCTTGTGACAGCGCCCGAGGGGAGCCCACGTCCGACACAGCGCGGCGCCGCGGCCCTCCTCGCGTGGCAGCTCCTGGCAAGGAACCCGCGAGGGGCCAAAAGAACAGCGAGGAGCAGCAGCTGCACACTTCAACACCCGGGAACGCCAAGGGCGAACCAAACACCCACCTGGCCCCATAAACTCTTCTTCAGCAGAAAGACCACGCGCTGCAGGAAGCCTGGCCACACTGAAGTGCCTACACCAAGAACGCCCACAGCGGCTCTTCCATGTGAGCCACCGGGAAAGCTGCTTCCAAGGAAAGCAGATACGGCCGCAGCCTCACTCGTGCGTTTGGGTAAAACAACCAGCAATACTGTGGCAGCACACGAGTGCTCTTATGTCCTGTGCAGCTGGGCCATCTCAAGAAAGGGTAAAGGTTGGGAAATTTTAGGTCAAAATAATTCAGCAAACAATGCAAGCTGAAAAGAGATTACTAGCAGAACAGTTTTGTAGATTTTTAGCTACTTGCTATTTTCTAAGGTAGAAAATATGCTTTGGAAACAATGTCAGAGATAACTAAAATCCTCCCACAGAGTGGGGAGGAGCTAGGAAACAGCCTTCTCTACCGTGAGCTGTATCCAGACTGTAATGGAAGAAGAAACAGAAGGGAATGCAAATCTTTCTTGCCAATTTGTAATCGCAGGATAGGTCTAAATTTGTTTTTCTGCTCCAAACCCAGAATCCTCCCATATCCTTACCTACTATCATCTTTCTAATCTGTTTTGTTTTAAAAAAAACACACATAGATACATATGTGCATATATGTTTGTGCATCCATGATAAACTTTGGTGCTTGCTGTCTTTATAATTAGAAAAATCTTTCCCCAAGATGCAACCTAGATAGCCTTTTTTTGTGCAATTATTTTGTCCTGATTATATGGAGGATTGCTTGTTTTCTTTCTCTCTGCAACACCTTTTAAAAATACATGACTTATCTTCTCTTTAATCGTTTCTTTTGTAGGAAAAATAAATAAAGCCAGATATTTCTGTCTTTTATCATAATCTATGTTTTCTAGATCTCCAGCTTTTCTTGCTATTGTTATTTGGACTCTTTGAATGGTAAATGCCTGGACAATATCCAAACTTGCACAGAACTCTAGCTGAGGCCTTATTCATTTCTACATTAACAAAAAAAAGAAAGAAAGAAAGAAAAAAAGCTTAAAAAGCTAAAAAAAAAAAGAAGAAGCTTAAAAAAAGCTTGTATAATTGGTGTTTCTGGACAATAGATTTCACAGGCTAAAGTGAATTTAATCTTACTATAACTGACTGCAAGCAGTAGCTTATTTTCAAAAGTTTAGAATACTGCACTGCTACTCTTTAGTGAGAACTGAGGATATTCTGTACTTCACAAAAGCAGCAAAGAAATATTATCAATTAGCCCTGAATATTATCAGCTAGCCCTGAGGCACCACCTGATTTTCTAAAGACCAAGTAGATGAATCTTATTAAAAACAGGAAAAAAAATTAAAGAAAGTAGGGCTAGAACTAAATACAGTTCTGCTCCTATGGCAAATCTTACCATCCTACCAAAGACTAGTGCTCTCTAAAGATTGTTAAACAAACAAAAAATCTAAACAGCCCCATCCCGTCAAGGACGGCAACAATCAGTTCAGAGTATTTAACACACCAAACAGTAGTGAGTCATTGAAAATACTTAAGTGCTAACATGATATAAATAAAAAGGATAAAATTTAAGAATAATGCAGTTGATAGGAGATGAGGGAAATGTCATTATTCTCCACATAAAGACATTCTTTAATTTTTTTTTTTTATATCCACTGAGTTTTTCTGAGAATTTAAAAACAGGTACACCATGTGAGGCAACTGAATTCAACCTGCAGAATTGCTTTGCTTGTTTTTCAAGGCACTTCTATATGTTTCAACAAAAGCAACTTAGATGCACCTTTTGTCATTATTTTGCCTCTGCTTTTTTCCAAAGCACAGAAGCTAAAGCATACCATCATCCCTCATGAACAGTCAAGAAAATATCTGTACTGGAAGCATACAAAATATATATAGCCTATACATTATAAACTCTGTGAAGAGTGTGCACTGAATACACATACAAGCCCCATACATGCCTGCACAAGGCTTTGTGAATGAACCACTTCCTTTTAGCAGCCTTCTCTTATCAAAATAGAGTAAATTATTGACCACAAATGCTGTTACCAAAGGAAATAAAAAGTCAAATTAAAGGATTATTAAAGAAAGGATTTTTGAGTTAATGTTAGAATGGTTATGTTCTATTGCACGCATTAACGTGCAGACGCTACACACAAAGCAATACTATGAATGCTGCTCTGGAGAGATGCGAGAATGGCCCAGTAATCAAAATCCTCTAAAGATGTCAGTTTTACTGGACTTAATGAGTTTCCCTCACCAGACCCCTCATCATCGTCAGTCGCGGCCTCCTGCATCTCCTCTGTGAAAGCCTGAGATTGGCTGGGGTTATTCTTGCTGTCTGAAACAGTCACTTGTGCTTGTGACCTCTCACCTGAGGTCTCTGTGTGCTGAACTGGCGTCGAGGTAGTTAGGCCCTTGTAAGAAATGTCACCTGTCTCATCTTCCTCATAGTCATTAAGGCAGTACACTTCATCCAGGTCGAGGTCCAGGGTCCTGAAGCCCTTAGTGACAACCCCGGGCCTCGGGTCCAGGATCCCACCCAGGTGAGGCTGAGCCAGCTGCTGCCAGTGGTGCAAAGTGGCAGAACCTTGAAAGGGAACAGAGAGAACACCAAAATAAATCAGCAAGCAATCTCGCATCCAAAAGGCAGAAATATTTAAGCAGTTTATTTATGCAGACATCCAAATCTCAGCCCCACTAAAGGTTTGAAGCGTCTGTGAACTAGCAGAAATATCGCTAGGAAGACATGCTATAGGGAAAACTGCTTCAGTTATTCTAGCTTTTCCAGACCAGTGTTAGGTGAACTGGTCACATAAGCACTCGAGAGGCTACGTCTGGCAGTCTGATGTGACCTTCTTGTGCACGTGCACCTCCCCTCGTCATCAATACTCTTATCACACTGAATTTACAAGCTTCAGCCGGACTAGAAAGAATTGAAATTCAACAGTTAGGCTGAACATCACCACAGACAGCTCTAGGAACATATACTATGTAATCCTGCTTGCATGAAGAAAGGAGGTAGAAACATGGTAGAATTTACTACCATGACTCACAGGAAAACAGCAACTATACAGATGATAGAGTAACTTCCACATTCTAACATATGTTAGAAAGCCACATCAACTCCAGGCTCATATAAGCAGATAACAGCTCTGATCCATGTGTCAAGTCTAAGTACCTGCATGGCTCCTATCTGAGCCCCTATCCTACAAGAGGTCACTACTCTACAGCCATCCTACAGGAGGTCACTACTCTACAGCCATACGCTACTGTACCTGCAGCTTCATCCTTGGCAGTAAAATGTTCTGAGTGAGGAAAGAGGTGCATTTTAAAGAGAACAACATTGCAATACTCTAGTGTTCAATATGAGACAGTGAGTCAGAAAAAGCAATGCGGCACGTTACACTGATAGATACGCTGAGCTGGGCCCACTAAAATCAGGGGAAGATTTATCTGATTCCTCAAGCAGTGTGATTAAACACTGCTCACAAGAGTCAGCTGTTTCCCATGTGCACCTGCCAATCACTACTGTGTAATATTTGCCTTAAAACTATTTATTCTAGGTCCTGCAATGCAAGCAGAACATCCTTATTCACATTTTCTGCAATGCAAGTTATTTCAGATGAATGCATGTGCAAGAGGACATCTAGGTATAAATGTATATTTACATTTATAGGATTTTGAGGAACGAAGTAGGATCTAGACTGATTGGTACCACTGAGGCTCCAGAAGCAGAAGCCATTACAACTCCAAGAAAATAACTCTAACAAAACAAAACAAAAAGCAAACACACACAAAAAAAACACCCTCCTTATTCACATACATTTCTAAATTGCCTCAGAGCTCAAGTTTTTGTACTTCTGCATTAAAAAAAAGGTTTCAGAATATGGACAACTGAAATTGCTGAGTCTTGAGCAGAGAGTAGAGCTTCACTGTATGACAATATTCTCAGCTGAAGTTTTTATGCATACAGTGCATGCAAACATAAAACCCTATTGTTGATTCTTCTATGCATAAGCTTCCAAAGCAGTAATCTTTTTTTTGCCTTATAAATCATCACAAATTTATACTCACATAAACTCTACAGAGTACAAGCATTAAAATGACAATTTTTAAAAATCTTTCCTGTGAAAATATATTCACCACAATAACTGTTTAAGCTTTAACAGTTCCATTGACATTACACGTTATCAGAAGCTTCTGGAAACTGGAAATCAAAACAGGCTCGGCTGCAGGACAGAGAAGGATGTTCAAGTTTCTCTGCACCTCAGTTACCCTAATCTTGATCTCATTAAATGTTTGCAAGGGAGCATTTACTTTTCCATACACAAAATGAAGCACAGAAAGCAATGTAATAGCTGTCAATGCTCTTATGATTGAGAGCAGCGGGGAAGAACAAGAGCATTACCCCTATTTTCAACAAAAGACACCAATACCAATAATTTTGTAAACTATGTTACCAAGAACAGTTGGCATGAGGGAGCTGGCCTGGAAAAGTGGGACTGGTAGGCTGAAGTGAGATGAAATTTAAGAGCAAAATGAGCATCTGAATTAAGCAAGTGACCTTTGTTCTTCTCTTCCTGATACGTGGAAGGTCGCATGTGTGGCACAGTGGTCACGGGATACTTGCAGTGTGTTGGTGCCATGATTGCAAAATGGGTAAAGATATTATTAGTCCAAGGTTTAGTTTTCATACGGAACAGGGGGAGCTCTGTTTTGTGCTCATGATCTAAGAAGCTGCAGATTCATAGTAAAAAACCAAAACACTATGTATCAAAAGCAACTTAATCAAAATCAAGCAGTCATCTTATTTGACCAAAACAAATATTTTTTCTTTTAAAGATGTAGGAATGGGATGCATTTCTTAGTGCTTGTGTCATCTTGTCTCTTTTACTGTGAGACTTAATCTCTTTTGCTGTGAGATTTAAAGGGCTTTTAAAGCAGCAAAAGTCACTAACCTGCAATGCATTATAGAGCTATCTTTTCTTCCCTCATTTCTATGGCATAAGCTCTCATAGGAAAATGATAATAAAAAGACACAACAGCTGACAACCGGATGTATTTTGCTACAGTAGCATTAAATTACTCAGTTTATCTATGAATAGAATGAAGTTGAAGAAAATGTTAAACTTAATAGAAAATTCCTAGAGAAAAAAACTAAGCCAAAGAAATGAACAGAATCAATAAGCGGGTTTTTAACAAAAGATAACAAACACCAAGAAGATATCAACAAGTCACAAATTAGATGCAAAACAAACATAAGTAGTATTTAAAAGGCTCGATATCTTAAGGCGAAAAAGAACAGTGAACAAAACTGGGGAAAAAACAGACAGAAAGGTGAAGACTGAAATAGTTTATTGGAAGAAAAACAGATATAATGGGATAGTGACAGAAATCTATTACAGTGGTGGCAATCAGTAACTGCAAAGATGTTGAATCAGCCCTTTTCGCATGTGATAGAAGAATTCTATAGTCGTTTGAAAGCAATCAAGAAAACATATTACTAGGAGCTATTAGAAATAAGGGATTTGGGCATTGTGGCTCTGTTTTCATTTGAACAGGTAGACATAACATGACACTTGCCAGAGCACAAAAAGGGTTTTGTTTCTGAAAATGTGTCATGATAAAAGGAAATGCTGAAATTATTACATGCAGAAATAGTATAATCTAACACAACAGTTATCAAAAAAAAAATTCCACTGTGAAACCAAGGCTAAATCACATAAATATCACCCTCGGAAGTACTATGGCAATACAGATTACTTTTGCTTAATCCTGAATGAATTTACTCAGTCTTAATGGTGAGTACTAACCTGAAAAGACTAAAGAAAGCCAGGTAGAATATATTATTCCTATGTGCTCTGTCTGCTTTGCTAGGCAGACTGCAGAAATGTAATTACTCCTGAAACAAAGCTCTAGCCCTGACCACCTACTTGTATTTTGATTTGTTCTAAGAAGATATATAGATGAAATTTGGCTAAAATAGCATGATATTTTGCATAGGAAGTCAGAGACTCATTGCCTGTCAACTCAAGACAGCCAACTGAAGTTCAAAAGCCACTTCTAATCACAGAAGCAGCCCCGTTAGACCACCTGCAGTACCTGAAATAAGTAAAGGTCTTTGCAGACACTTCTTTGCAAAATGGAGATTTGATGAACTAATCTGTAGCTTTTGAGCACCTGCTAATATTCTATTTTGGATACTGAATCACCTTTCTTCTTTAAATATGAAATAGTAAGGTGAAGACTTAGGTCACCTATGAGGCTGCACTACTGATGCATGCATGACCTGCAACATTTATTTTGTTCTGTTGTTGGACGGTTTTCTTTTCCTAATCGACTTTTAAGGCTTCTGAAAAAAATAGTAGTTAGAAGAGTTCAAACCAACAGCGTGGATTACTGTCTCTAAAGTAAAAAGAATACGTATTGCAAAGATTTCCTGCTTTCTGCTGGTGGATGAGAGACCACAAAGAGTCACTAAGAAGAACAGATAAAGGCCGAGGCCCTTTGTTATCACCTTCTAGGGGCTTCACAATCTGGAGCTTCTCTGGCAGGTAGGATCGACTGCTGATAGACATTCCCGAATATCCAGTGAATTCTGAAAATCTGGAGTGAGTTCCCAGTGACATGATGCTCTCTGTAGGAGTCACGGAGCCACTATGGAGTTGGCCCTTTTCCGCCAGTTCCCGCAACTTCCTTTCCTGCTCTTCTTCAAAGAACTTTCTCTCCGAAAGGTAGTTCTCCCGCCTAAGGGACAGCCTACGAATGGCAGTCTCTAGGTCACTGGAACCTGGTGTCCCTGGGGTTCCAGGCTTCTTCATTCTATCTTCATTTCTAGAGCATAGCAGGGGAGGAAAACAAACAGATGTAAGGAAAAGAAAAACACTTTGAGAAGCTTAAAGCTTTCACGGAGAATTTTGAGACATACTTCAAAATCTTTAAATTTCTGTGTCTGGGACAACATGCTCCAGGGGAGCTCAAAGCTAAACACTGATACTTTCTGTCTTCCATACTAAACTGTTCCAGAAGGCTAGCTCCTCTTAAAAACTGCTGGTTAGAAAAGTTGTGCTTTAATCAAGAGCTTCCTCCTACAAAGAGGAAAGAAGCTTCTTGTTACTGCTGGTCTCATTGTAATACAAACTCAAGTGATCAGGCCAACTCTTACATAGCCAACGCTACAAGAATGTATCAGTGAGTCACAAAACTGTACTACAGTGGCAAATATTCATTGTTTGTTTTGGGATATTAGCAAAAAGTGGTTTCACACCATCTGGTGATGATGCATCTCAAAACACATGTATTTGCAGAGATTGATATACAGAAGTTTATAAAAGCCTTTAAAAAAAAAACTCAGTGCTAAAGAATTAAACACACAAAATCAAATCACTTTTGAAAATGCAGGTCACTGTTCTGGCCTGCACAACATGAGATAGAGGAAAATGGAAACACTTTGCCTCATATATAAGGAAAAAAAACCCACAGTTTGGTCCTGAAGTACTAACCCATTGTCACCAGATTCTGTCCCTAGGATGATGCTATTGGTCTTGTTGTCTATCATAATGCTGGAGATGTCTCCCCCATAGAAGCTGGAACGCGGAGTGCTGATGCAACTAGAAATAACTGAGTTCATAGCAGACGACTGGTTAGAGCCCGGAATATTCATTGGTGATGGAGTCATGGATCTCTGCTTGACAACTTGGTTTACATTTCTGACTGTCTCGAAGACCCGCTTCTGATGACTGGCAAGACAAATATAATTAACAATCACACGGTGGAGAAACATCTATCCTCAAGAACAAACAGGTAGCAGCTCAATAATGACCATTTCTATCACCTCCCCCTACTCGTGCTGTCTTGTCCTTACAAAAATCCGTTAAAAAAATTATGCGGAGTCTAATATTTACCACAGAATTTGGCCATTACATTCAATACATCAACTGGCACCTTCTTCATTCTCAAACATATTTTAGGCAGAATATATGAGAATTATGTGCCCCACCCCCCTCAAATATTAAACCAAATTAAATGAAAGGGCATTTCAGTAGATTGGCTAAAAACCTCACAAAACCACTGTGTGGAAATGAATTTAAAAAAAAAAAATCAACTCCTAACTATGAACTAAGCTAATCCATTTTGAGAGCGAAATTTGGATTAATTCTGCTGAGTGCCCTCAGTGCAAGCAGGACTTGTATCTTTTCTTTTCATAAAGAATTTCCTACTCCCCTAACCAGCATTAAAAACAAACAAAAATAAAACACACACAAAAAAGCCCACATGTAACATGCACCCACAACCTGAAGAGGCTGTAAAGGCTGGAAATCTCAATTTTGACCTACTTCAGAATTCCGTTCTTCATCACCATTACCCTAATTGCAAAAGTAACTTTGTTCATCTGCTTTGGAATTAAGATTAATTCTTCACAAATTACTTGAAGTAAACCTGCCCCACATCACCTTACAAAAGCATCCTTGCTGCTTTGCTTTATTGTTCAACACTGGCTGAACACAAGAACAGCACACTTGAAGGTAACGCTGCAAGTGTTTCAGCGACAGTATGCCTTACACTATTCAAAGTCATTCAGTTTTTATCTTTCTGTCCATGGATTAGAAAGTTGCATTAGTTGCATCCACTGTGTGCAGCCTCCAAATCTACAGTAGGTTGTGTCTAGAAGGCTGAATGTAAGGACATCTACCTCCAAGCAGGCCCGCCATCCTTACAGTCGCCACCGACAACCAGATGAGTAAAACCCGGAGAAACTATGAAACCAAAAAAAGATGTCCAATCCTCAGCACACCCATACTAATGGAGAAGAAATTTTAAAGTTATCAAACTAGCCCTAAGTTAGACAACTCTGGAGGGGCAAAAGGATCCTATGGGGTTTGAACATGCTCTCATCTTTTTGATTTTGCATCTTTCTGATTTTGCATCTTACTTTGTTAAAGCCTGTGCTTTGTACAAATAGGCGAGATAGACTTATTGCAACTTAGGTCAGTAAGGTCATTTCTGCCACACTGCAACTTCCTTTAGCTTTTGGAGTTTCAGAAGTACTTCACTTGTTTCAAACCACTGTCTGTCTTAACTCAGGAGAACTGTAACAGAAGGGCTTCCTACTGCCACTCACCTGACTATTCAGTTTGATGCCTGTTACACAACTGCCCTGAATCCATTTTCAATGATAGTCTTCTCAGAACATGGATTATACCAATGATTACTTACTAATTTCTACTATGAGAACCTAAAAGAGGGTCCAAGAAACAGAACCTGCCTCCTTAATCATAAACTTGCATGATAACACACAGGAAAACCAACGCTTTTTCTTTCTCAGACCCACATTTGCAGCACCCAAGAATGCAGGTGAAGTTGCAAAGACAAGGTAAAGTCTGTGTTTGGGTGGTTTCTGTTGTCAGCTTAACCTGCAAATATAAACAACCCAAAGACCAGGCAATTTATTATGCCTCTCTGTCATACTCCTGTAAAATAGTGCAACTATTTAGTGTTTCTTTTTCTTTCCTATCAAACAGTAACTAACTTCAGATACAATCAATTTCTTAAAGAACATAGGAACCAATGCTTTTCAGTCATACGCCAAGTCTGGAGAGTCAGGTTCATCTAAATGCAGTTCTTTCCTCATCGACCCTTCTATTTCTGCTGCCAGAGAATCCTGTTAAAATCAAGAACAAAAAGCAAATGCCTATCAGAGTATTCCCAATATTAATATGCATTCCCAAACTGCTTTTCTAGACAAAAATAAAAAGATAGAGGTGTAAAAATGAAAATTGGAAAGCTGAAACACTAATGATTTTATCTAGATGACAAGTTATAACTTAATTTTGTACTGCTACAGTCTTTGCCATCGGAGGAGGCATAATGTAGATAACATTTGACAAGAATATCACAGAGTATCACAGGCAACAACAGAACCCTGGTCTTCCCATCTATATTCTCAACTCAATAGCTCCCTCTCTCATGCAAAAACTTTTGCTTTTTTGTTTGTTTGCTTGTTTAATACATATAAAAAACATTTTTCCCTTTCACAACATTCTCCCCCACAGAGAAAACAAAATAATACAAAATAATAACCAAAAAAACCTTCACTGATCTTGGCAGATATAGGAGTATACTGATATATGAATGATGAATAACAAAGATGTATAGAACTGTGTAACAATCCACTAATGCGACCCATAACTCTCAGCACAAGTATAGCACTTTGGATCTTACACAACCCTGCAGAAAAAACAGCCAATTGCACAGCCCCCCTGCTTCAGGACCAGGCATGCAGAACAGGCCGCTCTGGTATCCCACAATACTATATGCATACGTATTTCACTGCTATCAAAAGAAATAAACCACCCACGCTCATGTCTAGCCTAGCATCCCGTCCCTGCATTTCAGCTGTGTTTCAGATGCAACAAACACTTCTGTTTCTTTCACCTGCCTTTTAAAAAACCTACTTACCATAGGGAAGAGACCAAGAGAGTGGTACCGACGTGATATGGCATTTGGCATAGTCTTGTTCCTAAGGTTTTTCAGCTCTTCTTGCGCCTCGTGAAGCATTTCCATGCACTCTGCATACTTGTCTTCCAGCTCCCGCAACTACGACATACAGAAAAGGATGTAAGACCTTATCAGCTGCACTACTGTCACAAAAAGTCCACATATTCTTTTAACACTGATAAATGGTAACGGGACTGGAAAGAACACCCCAGTGAAAAGACGCAATTTATGTATCAATGAAAATCATGATTAACAGAAATAGGTAATAGGAATATAACATAGAAATCTTATGCTGCTGATATCAAAAGTTGGTAAGGGAACAAAAAGAAAAAAAAAAAGCTTGCTCCATTTCTTAAGTACCTACATAAAGCCACAACAAGGAAAAGATTTGAGGCTAAAAACCTCCTTGGCCTGATCACGTACATTGGTTATTATTATCCTGACTACTGTCATGACCACCACAGTGGCAAACAGCATGAGAAAAGAACATGACATTTTACAGTGTCCCAAAGGGCTTAAGGCAGCTTTAAAATCAAAACTTCTAAATATAACCTCCAACACCTCCTCTGCTTTCAGATGCCTTTTGAACAGTGTACCATTATAGTTCATTAGGTACTTCACGGGAGTTCAGCAGAGGGGCAGAAGTCTTAACTACTTAAATACACTGCTGTAAGGACAAGAGGGAAATGACATAAATGGCTTTTCTGCAGAAACAGCTACAGCTAGCATTCCCACCTGAGACACCAACTAGACCAAGTATGACAAATGCCCACAGAAGATCAGGCTTTATTCATTCTGTTTTTTTTTTTTTCTATTCTGCATATTGTGAATGTAGTACCCAGGAGAAATACAAGTTCTGAACTGTCCTTTTTTATTTGCTGAGCAGATATGGTATGAATGAGCTTTTCTGCATTATCTCATTTTCCCAAATAAGCTACCACTAGAAAAGTCAACCTCTAAAGGGATTCCTACACAGCCCACAAGCCTCAGTTTTCCAAAATATATGCCTCTTGAAGGAAGAGAAATTAGGAAGGGATATACTTTGAACTCTGCTACAAACACAAACATTCCTTATACATACATATTCCTTCATTCCTTAGGCAAGGGTAACATTTAATGCTTCTGATCCAGATTATGTTAACACTCTCAGGGTGAAAAGCTAAAAGATACTGTCCTAGCACTAAATTATTTTAATAGTAAGCAGTGTACTCACTTCTGCTGTGAGCTGTCGCTGGGCATCTTTAGCTGCTCCCAAATGCTGAACAAGTTCTTCATTTTCAACTGCACACTAAAATAAACCAAAGAAAAGGTAGAAATCTGTTCTGTGATGAAGTTTGCATCCTGTACTACAAGCAGGGAAATTCTGACTATTCTCACACTGTCACTGCAACAACACTAGCCAACAAGTATGTCAGTTTAAAAACAATTAAACAAGATTTTAAAATGTTAATACAAGTTACCCAGCATCAATCGCTATCTTCCAAATAAACATCCAAATCCTGAAATGGGTATCTTCCCATTGAAATAAATACATTATTTTTACTCAAGTCTTCAGGAGGTTATTACAGAATTTTGCATTTAATATTTAAAATGTATTTAACAACTGTATATCATATTCACACATTTCGATAAATTCCTATGTTCTAATCAAGTATGTTAGATATTAAACAGCAAACAAGGATGCCCAGATGAGGTGCATGGAAAAATTCTCCGAAGTTGTGATATTCAAAGAAATTTAACTTTTCTTCCAGCTACGACAGTGGTGAATCGCAGCACGAGTTTTATAATTGGATGTCTTACAGCTTTTGCCTTTTTCTGCAGATCAACTATCTGAGAGAGGAGATGGGTGATTTCTTCCTGTTGCCGGGCAGCATCTTCAGTTTTCTTTGCTAACTCTTCTGAGATGTTGGCAATCTGGATGTTTGCATCCCCTTTAAAAGTAAGTGATTACAATTAACATTGTAACATCAAAAAGCAGGAAACACACACACAAAAAGAACAAAAGAAAACTTATTTCAGAGCATGATTTGATTCAGCAGAATCCCTTCCCAACACACATAAGGAATTTTTGAAAGAAAACAATAAGAAGGAAAAAAAATGTATGGACATACTCAGCTCTTTTACACAATCATTCACAAGCTGTTGTTCCTTTTCTTCATAAGTTATTGTTTCAGTCTTCAGCTGACAGGCCTGTTCAAGAAATCCACATCAAAAATGCTACATTAGCACACTTGTCCTTTGCCAGCCTGCTGCTGCAATTCCATCTGCTTCAGAAAGACAGGCCTTTCAAATCACTCCTCCAGAAAGACAGTGAGAAACAGGGCTTTTTTTTTTTTTTTTTTTTTTTGCCCTCACGCTCTGGAAAAACAGGGCCAGGAGAACGTTCAGCAGTCACACAACTGGGCAGAGAAACTGGCACCACTGTCACCATGTCCCCACTAGGTGCCACCTGTGCACTTGGAACAGGAGCAAGCCCTAGCACAAAAGGCCCATATGGAGCTTGATCGGGTCACCTGAACATAGATGGATATAACCACAAACTGACTAGCGTTTGATTTAAATACTTGAATTTGGGGGTGGGGGGAAGAGAGAGAGTATTTTTAAAAGGTCTGGAGCTGTAACTATATCCCACATAAATCCTTAGTGCTTTTCCTTTCAGGCTTTTCCTTTAGTGCTAGGGCCTCTAGGAGCAGCAAGAGGAACCTGGCTGCACCAGGCTGGGTCTGTCCAGCACCCCCTCAGTCAGTCTAATGCATTCCCAGTACTGGGGGCACGTACAGGGATGCACAGCCTGCACCTGCAGGTTGCAAATCTGGCTCCAAACTGTGCCTCCCTGGCATGGTCTGCATCCCTGGAATGGTAAATAGTGCTGCACAGGCTTCTCCTGTTAGCTCCTGAATCAGTGTCCCTGTCCATGCTAACCCTACCTTCACTACTCTCAAACCATCTACTGCTCATCCTCCTTGCATGACTTCTCAAGGACATGTACAGCGTTCTCCTTTACATGGGGTCTTCTCCAAAGCTGTGACGCTACCTAATTGCAATGAGTCCTGCATTTGCAGTAGAAAACAGTAATGACACTCTGGTTTGGTATATTTACTCTCCGCTCTAAAGTATTTCTGCTGCTATATTCTGCCACATGTTCATAATGTTGTAACATGCCTTAAAGTTAAAAGTTGTATTGAAAGTTCATATAAAATTAGTGACTGAATTTTTAATTGCAAGGTGATATTTCTAGTAGGCAAGGAAGAGGGCAGGGGAGGGAAAAACAGAGAGACAAAAAAGAACATATACTCCACAACTCTCCCCCAAACTCAGTGCAGTCTGAGAAACAGAAAAAAATAATATTGTTACAGACAAGAGAAAAAAGTACAATATTCTTAACAGTCTGACTTGAAATTCATAAACTGAAGATATTTAATGCATATTTACCTATCAGTTTGTATTTTGACAACTGCTGATCATGCACCAGGCAGAACATGCCAGTCTGCAAACCCTAGAGCATCAACTAATCTATGAGGTTGGGCTTTTAAGAGGTTTCAAACGGCAACGCTGCACTGTGCGACCTGCTCACACTGCAGTGCTTCTCCAGGCTTCTCCCTAGCACTTTCTGTTGGCAAAGAAATGGCTATGAATTTAACGTAGCTTCCATGTTTCAGCCTTCCTTCATTTAGGAGAATAAAGGATGGTGATCAAATAACTGAAGAGATCGGTGTCACACGTGGAATTACGTGCTCCTATTTAGACTCTTAGAACTTTATTAATAATACCTCTGTTGTGGCAATTCAATGGACACTTAAGCTGGACACATAAAGGAAGTAATTTCACCTCTGATCTAAGCACAACATTCTCTTCTTCAAGGTCCTTGAGTTTCTTTTGAAGAGAATCCAAGTGAAAGTAGTTCTGGACGGAGGAAGAAGATTCATTCCTCTTCAGCCTGGTAACAAAAACAACAGCTTTAACTCATTTTTACTTGCAACACGGCCAGTCTCACAACAGAAAGGATTGAATGGAGAGCAGGCAGTCACATGAATTACGCCTTTGTTCATGATAGTATGCATAGGCAGTAAAATAGTCCCAATTAATTTTAAAAGAGAATGCAACTATTTTTTTTTCTTTTTAAATAGTTCTTCGCAATTCTTTGGGGAGAATTATTCAGCCAAGGCAATGAGGAAAGAAACAGCCTTATTAGAGCAACGGAGTAGCTTTCTGATTAACGCTGCCCCTGTTTCCCAAGGATGCTGCAGTAACTGTGTGGGCAGGGACAGAGCCACCCAAAGCCACAGCACAGCTGGGCAGCAGCCTGCCCGCACCTCCATCCACATTTCCTTTCCTGGGAATGGTGTCGTGTTTGGCCCTGCGAAGGGCACCATGTTTTTCAAAGCATCTCGGGCTCCTGGAGCCCAAAGGCCACTCAGGTAGCTGGTGCACAGGTACGTGGCACAGTGAGCTGTGGTAATGGGGACAAGTGTTTGCACTACTGACACACCGGGTCAGCTCCCGGGGAAGTTTCAGTGTGTGTCAGCAGCTTCCTGATGTACTTTCTCCTCCCGCCTCTTGCTGGCACCTGCACAGCCAGCTGGTCCAGGGCAAGCCTTTCCAGCTGATGCCCCGCACCATCCGAGCGCTGAGTGCCCTTCAGAGCTCCAATCCACCCAGGAATCGTTTCATGACCTTTGCTCGAACTGCCCCGGCCTAGCGCCAAGGATGCAGCGCCGCAGATCGGTAACTTACGGTGTGGAACAGATGGACTCCGGCTCACTTTCCTCGGCAGCGCTGGTGTAAAACTGGAGCAGCTCATCTTTCATGGAGAGCTCATGGCGCAACTGAGAAACCTGCGCAAAGAAAGAGCGTGGAGGTCTATAACCGGCTTTTCTAGACACATCCTTAAATAAACAGACTATCCGTTAGTCATTCTGCAAGCATCACCTTCAGACTAAATCGAGATGTCAAGACTGGAGCAGACAAGAACTAGTTCCTTTATTACTTAGAAACAGGGATATGGGTGACTTTAAAATAGCAATTTTTTTCAAGCAAAAAGCGTAAATACACATTGCTATTAAATAAGGTGAGAGAGACAGATATCTAAGATCAGCAGTCCTGAATCTCTATTGCATTCCTCTTCATTCACATCCACAGAAATAGATGGATTTCAGTGATACTGCAAAATGTAACATGACATAACTAAGCCAAATCTAATTTTCTTTTAAATTTTATGTGATGATTGTCACCACCTGGCACAGACACGTTTTTACAATTTCAGAAGATTTTCAGAACATTACTATAACACATGCAAGGCAAGGTAACATTTAGGACTTTCTTGTCAGTCGATCTGCAGGTGCAGAACAACACAGACTCACAGAATGGTTGCTGCAACAGTTAAAGCTGCAATTGGTTTCTGAGTCAAGTTCAGGTCTTTGATGACTCCATAACTCCAATCCAGTAAAGAAAGAAGTATGTGGGAGTCTCATATTTAGCATATACATGTAGCCAAAGTGAACAAAATCCATTAGAATCGGGGTTGAAATAATCCATAATTGTCACCTTCACAAACATAACCTTGGTTATTTCTTACTGTGGCTCTCCAAGAAAAGGTATTGAAGGCCAAACTATATATTAGTATTTATGCCAATTCAGAGCAGCAATTTAAGTCCTCAGTGGCAGGAGATTCATTCTGAATTGCATATGTATAAGTAACAAAACAGAGCAGAAAGGTCCATTTTCTTCCACTTACACTGCAAAACCAGGTCCTGATTTTTCCCTTTCCAAAGCACATTCCTTTTAGCAGACTTTTACCTTCTGTATTGTTAGCATATTTATATTACCAGTTACCTTGGCAAAGGACTGAAGCCAGTAAAATAGATTTAAGCTGTATTTTCAATCAAACAAAAGCCAGCCTCAATGCGACAAAGCACTCACACTGTATGTAATTCTGAGCAAAGTCTTTTCCTTTACTAAGGTTACTTCTGTGGAAATTAGATCTGTTAAAGTACCGAGTCCAAGCAGCAAGAAAATGAACACAGAGTTCATTTATCGCACTCTGGGGACAGATGTATAGCACTCACCATCCACACTGTAGCATGTACAGGAGAACTGGGTCTCTGTTTTTATCATCTAGTGCTAGTGGCACAGATTAGAAATTAGTAGAAACTTGTTGAGAAAGGCAAAGGAAAAGCTTTATCCCCAAGACCTAAGGAAAAGTGAAGTTCACAAGGGTGCAGACACCCCAGAACAAGCTGATATGTGTGAGGGAGGCGCTGAGACTTAATGGTGAAGGGTAAAAGGAATAAAAACAAGATCAAGAGGCTGAAGCGCAAACAGCTTCATCCGATTTTAAAGAGAACATGATCACAGTCCCTTCCTAAACCTAAGCAGTACTTGCCAGTACAAATCTAAAATACATGCCCAATCATTTGCCTTCAGTCTATATTACTTTTTATACGTACCAAGGAACACAGTAAGTTACAAGGACACACGAAAAACTTGCGCTACCTGATCAGACAGCCCAAAAGGTTTGTCAAGAAAGTTTGCCAAGGCCAAGATTTATAAAACAAAGTTATTTGTACCACAGTATAAGCTTAACTTTTAATCACACATACAGAGTGGATCTACACATTACAGAAATCAACCTACCTCTCTCCATGCCCTGCAACAAAACATAGCTGAGAGAGTTTTCACACACAATTTTAGAAGCCCCAATTCAATTCTTTTCTCTTATATCCCACCTGGAGAGTTATTCTTAATTATCATTCTGTTCAAAAATCCAAATTTCAGCTTTAATGGAAGAGCTATAGCCTGCTAAAGAAATGGTTTCTACATAGGAAAGTGTCATGGCTTTAAAGCCTGATGATCTCTGTGCCTCAAAATCATCACTTTCTGAAGGAGTTGAAGCGACGGTGTCAGCAACTGCTGTTGATGGAACATATGGCCCAACACATCAAGCCACCTGGTGTGAAGCTTGTTCTGGTGACCCTTTCCCTAACCTCGATCCCGGGTCCTTCTGAATAAAAATAGATCTGGCAGAGACAGCCCATTCCTGTCCCACGCCTTCCTCAAACAACTCCTTGTTCCGCAGGCCTGGAATGAGCGCCCTGCCCTGCGCAGAGTCACCGTGTGTGCCTGCTTAATGCCATACTGACCGGTGCACAGCTAAGGCAGGCTCTCACATGATGTGGTATGGAGAGCAAGCAACAGCACTGCTCTGACACTGAAGAGAATCAGTTTCCTAAGCCAGAAAGAGTGGGTCGCAAAGGAAATTACTTCTACATAAGTGTTGCACCACCATTTATCAAACATCTGGGAACCCTCCATGCACACTTCCTTCACCAGTCCATTTCAGATTGAACTCGACACCCCTAAGAAGTTCTGTTGTTAGCTGCCATTTTCTAGTTCATTTTAATCCAGTGCTTCACTCTTCTCTTGCTATCCCCTACAACTGTAGGATCTCTCTCCCTCTTGCTACACATGGTGAGATTCACCCACCAAGGTCACTGTCCTTGGTCAGCAAACCCATTTGCCTCTAGCTCAGTCAGTAGAGCTTAAATAGCAACACTTTTACTTACAGAGCGAGAACCCGTTAAAACGTCTTAAAAGCAACAGGTCTCAAAAGTAAGCTGTAATTCTCTCCAAGATCCATCCATTATAATCTGCTGATACTTACAGCATCCTTCAGCTCCCCAAAGAAATTCAGTAAGACATTTTATTTGCACAAACATTTGATTTAAAGAAGTCCAACAGTATGTGCAAGACACACGGCATTACATCAGGTGTTACCCAACATTGAAAGCTGTCTGGTAGATTTATTGAGCATGCCAATTTAGGAAGACCTGCATGTGCACCAAAAGCTCTAAACATTGCCCAAAATTCTGGCTGCAGTAGTAAATACACGTGCTGCAGCAGTCTACCAGCCCAGGCTTTAACAGGTTCTACTATAGGTTCCTGAAAGAGAGAGACAACAAACCACAAGAATCTGTAGGATCTAGATATAAGGCAGAAGGTTCTGAACTATAACTCTTTAAATGCTTCCTAACATTGACAAGTCTGAACCTACAGAGTATGTCAAATATAAATTATCAATCACAAAAATATATTCTGAACCCTGTGAGCATTGGAGTCTGTAAGGTTGCCTACGAAACTGGCCAAGCACAGGGATGGCAGAACACACGTATTTCACTGAGTGTGCTACCAAAAATCTCTGCAAATATTATTTTAAATTACTTTTTCATTTGTTTATTATTTTTATTATTATTTATTATTATTATTCCAATTTTTTATTCTTTTTCCATTAATTGTATATGTTAGCATGTATTTCAGTGAGTGTGCTACCAAAAATCTGTGTAAATTTTATTTTTAATTATTTTTTCATTTGTTTATTATTTTATTAATTTATTATTATTATTCAATTTTTTAATTCTTTTTCCATTAATTGTATATGTTACATTATATTCAGTTTGAGAAGCAAAGGGAAGCTCTACAGTATTCAAATGCTATGTTCTAAAAGAGAAGATTCAACTCAGCTATGAATAGAAAAACATTCGGGAAAAAGTAAATAAAAACAGTTGGAGAGAAAGAGAAGTAAGGACAGAATAAAATGCAGAAATGAGAAGTAGGAGAAAAAAAAAGCTGCAGGGCTGCACAGAGGGAGATGGAAATGGGAATGAGAGATTAGTGAGATAACAAGAGGGGGTTCTGCATACAGAAGAGAAGGAAAGTAAAAATTGTTCATTAAAAATAGTGGGTAAGTGATCCAAAACCAAAAGAACAGCTGTTTGGAGGGGAATAGGAAATCCGAGGCAGAGTAAAACTCAGTGGCTTGAGATTTTCTTCTTACCTCCTCATTAGAGGCAAGAAGTGACTCTCTAGGTGACATTTCTAAAAATGTACACGCTATATAAAAGGCTGACCAACTTGCTACAACTGAGATTGACCTGCTGTAGACTGGAAGCACAGGAAAATTAACTACAGACAAGGTGAAGTTCGAAGGAAAACATTCTCCTGCAGAAATACAGCACCTCGGCATAGAAGCTTACCTCTTCCCTGATGTGTTCTACTTGCTCCTCAAGAAACTCGTTTCTTTCTGTCAGTGACTTATTCTTCTTTAACAACGACTGGCCAATCCGCGCAGCTAACTCCAAGTCCCGTTCTTTCTGTGAAACATGAAGAAAAGAAAGCTGATTTCAACTGTTTTATTCATGGAAGGGTGAGACAGGGAGAGTAAATCTCTGATGAAAGGGAAGAAAAAAAAAAACCCACATGCTTAAAAATTATTTTTCTTTGTGTGGAGTAGATTTCTCCCCCCTAATTTTCTTGTTCTATTCCTGCCTATGTTTTACCCATATTACTGAGCAGGAAAATTGACTCACAGAGTTATTGAAGCATACACATGAAAGCACAGCCTCAAGGTCTAACATAACATGACATAAATTCCCTGCTTGAGCAGGGGGGTTGAACTGGGTGATCTCTAGAGGCCCCTTCCAACCTCAACCATTCTGTGATTCTGTGAAATGAAACCAGAGCTCATTTGCTTTATTACAGCTCTGAGAAAACACTAAGAGAAATTATTTTATCCTCTTGTTATACCATTTATAGAATGCAGTCACAGAGCTTTACATGTTACATTTTAAGGATTTCAGAAACACAGCACAATACCAAAACCCATAGACATTCCATAGCATTTTTCACTTTCCACTTGGTCCATGTGCAAATAAAATAGAGTATGCTAGGCATAAGCAGAAACAAAGTCCACTACATATAGAGTTCAAGCCCATACCCTCCTTGGGCTATGTGTGTTAGGTTTCCTTAGTGTGTTAAATACAAAAGCAAAAAAATAAAAAACAAATCCTATCCTATTCTCCCCTGATTAATCCTGAAGTGATAGCCAAACACAACTAAAAACATCACTGGACAATATTGGTCTTATTAAAGGCATCCCATCTTCTATTTTGTATTACCCAGACAGGGAAGAACACCAGACATTTTTAAAATATTGGCTCTGCATATCCCTCTAGCATTGCTCCCCTGAGAATAACATTTGACTGTGTGCACTCAAAGAAGGAAACAGTTTTGGCAAGATGCAAAATGCTTCATTATTACTAGAAGGAGCAAGGCAAACAAATGCAAATCAAGCTCAGCCAAACAGGACAACCAAGGGAGCAGAACACAAACAGGTAACAGAAGGTTATTACAAGTTAATGGATTGCTCCAAAACAGGCCTGTTAGGTAAAGTGACACTTCTAACTGCTATCTCATAGAAAGTTGTTCTGAAAGAGTTCCGCTCCAAGCATAAAGCACAGAACTGTGTGCCCAGATCAGATTTACCTATGGCAGATGGGGGATTCAAGCACTCCCATGCCGATCCCCTTGCAGAATTAGAAGAACAGATCACCAAACCTACCCTGGTTAGCAATTACCCTATTTTTGACACTGCTATCACAAGTAAATAAATAACATATGAAGGCTGAAGTTCTACTTCGCCATGAACTAATACTATTGTAACAAGGATTACAGTTGTGATTTATTAAAAATAAAAAAAACACTAAGACGAAGAAAAAACTGGGAGACAGAATATGAGAATATGATTTGTGTGCCTCTGCATTTCTGATGAAAAGATGCTGATATAGTAATTCTGACAAGACTGCTTGTGAACTGCATTTTTTTATTATTATTCTAAAAGACAATAATCCCTCAATAGTAATACTTTTAACTTTATATCTACTGTAAAAATGCATATTATATTTTCAGATGATTTTCCCTTCCTCCCCCAATTCATTAAGACTGATATTTGACTACGTATAAGTGAAACTGGCCTCAAGTGGAAAAGATACACAAGGATTGAATTCATGTAACAGTAAACAAGTTACTCAGAAAGATTATTTCCTTTATCAATGAGATTATCTGTACTTACACTGAGAGCACTTCCTCTTCCTCCTCTGAAAGCATTCTTCAACAGTGGTACCATATAACGTATGTACTAGTTTCTTATACTTAGAATGGGTTCCTAAAAAATGTAATACTTGCCTCTTCAAGAAGACGTGTAACAGCATCTATGTCATTGTATGTTTTAGTCATCTGGCCCACTCTTTCAGCACAAAGAACTGTGAGAAGACAGGACAAAACATTAATCATACTGACATTACAACTAGGGAAAAAGCATCCTTTAAAAGGAAGTTCAGGTAAGAGTAAAATCATCAGTTTCATCTTAAGACTATTTAAGCTTTCGGGTAAATATATCAAAACCCAAGTGAAAACAAAAAATATACCAAAGCTTCAGGTTTAACCTGAGAGGAATAGTAAGAAATACTCTTCAGTAGCAGGTATTAGTTTTGTCAGTGACAGAATAATCTATTAAAATATTAATATCTATATCTCAAGCAATACATGAAAACAGATGCTCTTAAATATATTATTAGGATTTTATCATGTCACTTGGCATATTATGTGCAGTAGAATTCTTCTGAGTAAGCAGCTGCAATAGTGTCAGGAACACAGCTCACCCTAAAGACAGGCACTACCTCATTTTTAATTGATAAGAACAGGGACCTACTATATGAGACATCATGGACAATATAAAACGCACGTAGGGTAACAAGTGATTCTTACACTGCAGTTACTCAGAACATACCAAGGTCTTTACTCATTATACAAGGGTTACTCATTACAGAGGCTCAAATAAGGCTGGGTGAGACGAGCTGTGTTAGGCTAAGCAAATACATCAAGGTTTCACCTACCACCGTTGCTCACTCTAAGCAGCCACACTGACTTGGTTAGCAGTCTGCACCACGGAGGCTTTGCTTCCTTCTCCCCTCAGAACCACCACTAAGCTGAGCAAACGCGAGCACCTTCCGCTCCAGCCCTACGTATTCTTTTTATTTTCATCTGCACTTATGTCTTAAACCTTGTTTTTCTGAAAAAAGGGCCTGTTAACAAAGTCAGCAGAGCTGATTGCTTCGAGTGTTGGGCAGCTGTGAGGCTCTTCCCTGCTCCTCAGGGATTTACCTCCGGCAGGACACCAGCTACACACAGCGTCGGGTCAAGCACTGGCTAATGTCACTGCAATGTGCATTTACTGTGTGTGTTGTGCCTAACTAGCTTTAAAAAGAAAACAAAAAAGAAAAAGGGTGCAATGAATACATCAAACTACAGCAAAAGGGGAACTTCTGTTTTTGTTTTTGTTTATTTTCTTATTTCTCTAATTCTACTTCTGGGGATGAAATCTTGAAAACATTCAAGGTGTTTAGTGACATCAGTACTCCCAGGGTATTCCAAAAAAATACACTGACAAGCATTCAAAAATTACATTTGTCCAAATCATTAAGCCTGCAAGCAGGAACAGCTCCAAGTTTACACTTCCAAGTAACAGCTGGATCAAAACTACGCAGCAATACAGAATGTGCATAACTGTATCACTGTAAAAGCAAAACTAAAATGCACCTGCAAACTACAGCCTATATGGGCTACTTTTGGTCAGTTAATACTGATAAGGTTTCCACAGGATATAACATTGTATTAGCTTGCAAAGAACATGAGCTGCATTAAACAAACTGTGTATTCAGATATGTTTTCCATAAAAGCTTCACAGAAAGAGATTTGCATTTACAGTGTAGCCTCCCAAAGGCTACTCGCAATGACAAATTTAGAAATTTGTTTTTATGCTGATGCTAAACACAATAAGTACGTAAGCCATTCAATAAAGTGTCCATCAGAAGGCCCGACGGCAACGTGTGTTTTCCACAACAGCCGCGCGCGCTCCACAGTTCCCGTGGTTACTGCATTCCCCCAGTGCTATAAAATAGGGGCTGAGATAATCATTAGCAAGCTCGTTTTAACTTAGTCCTCAGCACCAGCAGTCACCACTGATTGTGGTTATGGCAACCTGACACCACCCTAATGAAAAATGAACGTATAACCTTCCTAGCAGCCGAGCCGATAACGGCGCGGCGCTGCCAGCCCTGGGCTGCGCGCGGAAAAACACCAGCACAAAGAGCGACCGAGGTAGACACACGTGGCCGCTTGCCATCCCTTCAGAACTTGCCACTTAATCTTTAACAGGAGGCCAGAATTAAAAAGAAGATTTGATAAACATAATGCCTCATTAATGCATTTTAAAAATCATCATTTTTTGAGGCGCAAGAAAAAGTGAATCTTACAGCTTCACAGAAGCAAACAGAAGATAAAATGAAATCTTCCTTTTAGGTGGGCTGAAAGGTTGAGCGCCAACAAACTACAGATACTGTCACAACAGACTTACTACTAGTAAATCACTAGAAACCTAATCACCAATGTTTTTTGTGTATCAAAGCTTCTACCAAACTTCTGTCCATCAGGGCTAAAACTGTGGTCTTTGAGCACTATTCTGTCAGTGTGAAAATGTTTCAAAGGAGAAATGATCCATTATCCATTTATATCACTCTTAAGTGTCAAGTGGAAACAGACGTCACTCTGCATCCATCAAAAGGCTTAGGGGGAGAGGAGGCGAAAGAAGAAAAATTATGGGAGAGAAAAGCAAGAGAGGGAAGAAAAAGCAACTCAGCACAAGCATTTAAAAAAACCCAAAACATGGCCCAGGCACACAGTTAGCCAGCCCGAACAAACTGCATGATAAACCCTTGGATGGTTGCTAGTGCAGTGATTTTATTTTCCCTAAGGCCCCTATTTCAAGTAATCAATGTTGTGATTTGATCAGTTAGGGATGGAGGAGATGGAGGAGGGGGAATCTCCAATTCTCTAATGGGTCCCATTTAGTGGCTTTCTACCCTGCTCGATGAACACATGAGCCTGATAACACTATTGGAAAGATAAAACAAGAGCAAATGAAGGACACTGCTTTGTAATGTAAAGCCAACAGTGCCAAATTACTGACCTCTTTTCTCCTTGCTTTCAAACCAGCAGCGCTTTGGCTCGAGGGTGACAGAAAGCAGTGTCTAAATGCATGCAAACAAACATCCAAATGAAACACACACTTTATCTCTTGGTTTACAGAGCGGGTTGTTAGGCAATAAAAAAGAATAAATAAAAAAACTGTCTGCAGGAAGCAGAGGGACCATAAAATGTGTTTCAAAGCCAAACACAAACAGATAAATATACACAAATCAAGTACGCCCTCCACCTTGAAGTACCTAGCACCATCTTCATACGCAGATGAGCCTCACGCAGGCCACAAAGTGGGAAGAGATGGCCGTGGCCAGGAGCCACCGGTGTCCCCAGCCCCTGCTCCCTGCACTGACTAGCCAGGGCCAACCCCAACCCCAGGGGCCAGACTCGCTCCTCCTCTCTCTTTTTTGAGACCTGTCAAGTCAGGGACAAACTAAACAAGTGCAAGCAAGAGAGAGCAACTGCAGTTGAGGAGTAAAGCTAAGCTCTCCACTATGCTCCTCTCTCCTCTGATTGCTGGGAAACAGAAGCAGGGGGACAGACATTAGCATAAAGTTTGACCTTTTTTTAGGTCAGATAACACAGCAAAAAGTCACAGAGTCCAACGCGCAAGGCTGCAGTGCAGGCAGTTCCCTTGGTGCAGAAAAGTGCTGAGAAGTTACATGAGGCCAAGGGAGTAACAGTCAAGGCCATGTAGATCTCCAAGAATTTTAACACTCAGACTTACTGCTGAGATGACAACAGGGGGAAAACTTGCTTTTCATGAAAATTCTCTGCCCAAAGCCTCTAACTACAGCAATGCCAACTGCGCTCCTTTATGCCTGTCAAGAGAAGTTGATTTTTCCCTCATTTATGCCCCAGAAATCACGTTGTCCAGGCTCCCACGACTCTCTGAGCTCTCTCCAACCACTGAAAATAGGATGGCAACTCCTTTCTGTGCCAAGGGCCACACACCGAGGCCAACAGAGCTGGCGCGGTGACGCCAACCAGCTGCGCTGTTACTGTGGGCACTGCTCGGCAAGTCCATTCGCAAGCAGAGACCCCAGCAGACTCTGCTCAAATTGGCTTCACTTCTAAAAGGCTATTTCTGTGCTCCGAAAGATAAAGCGCTTGCTAAAAAAAATAAAGCCTCCATTCTCAAGACACTGATAGGTTTGCTCTGCACTATGCTGACTTGAGCAAAGTGCATGAGGGCTTCTGAAATTGCTACATTATGTATTTTGCCTTCCATTTAAACACAAAAGCAAATCTAATACGTGCCATCAGCTCTGCTTCTCAACCAGACTAGCAAGATTTTATGTATTTTAAGGTCAATGCACTACTTTCTCCTCCACTAAGGAAAGAGGTTAAGATTTTGAGAGCAGCCTGGGCTAGACTGGGGCAGAGGCTTCCGGCCTGCTTTGGCTTGGTACATTCGTGACAGGCCTGCGAGAACACACGCCTGAGATCGGCAGAAAGTTTGAGAGACTGCCATCACCAGAGCCTGGAAAACAGGCTTCTGGGGCACGACTTGTTACCAGTCAACCTTCAAACATAACCCGGGGCGATCGCTCCAGGCTCGCGCCTCCCTCTCCCGAGGCGCAGGAGCCAGCCGGGGCCTCCAGAAGGCAGACGGGGAGGTCGCAGGTGGCTCCGACCCTGCGCGGAGGGATGGAGATCGGCCACAGCCCGTCAGCTGCTTCCCACCTGCCCCGAGACACTGCGGGCTGAACGAACATCACGTGGCGAGCAACACACAGCCAGCAAGTACGTAAGAGCAAGGTGAAAAATAGCTACCACAAATTCAATGGGTAACCCCAATAGCTCTCCCTCCCTTTTTTAAAAATAGGGTCGCAAGCTAGTTTGCTGTGATTTCAATGGCACGGTTTGCAAATTAATTTTTGAAATGAATTTTTAATATTAAAGGTGCAGATGTTGAATTTTTTTTTCAGAAAAAAAAGTAACCTTGCCACTTAAAACTAGGGTTTAAAGGGTGTTGAATACCATATGAGAGAAACTGCAGCAAGCAAAACAGCTTAGTTCCAATATGAAAGCTTCACATACAGACCTACATTAATAATCTCTGGTTTAAGAAACAACTGCACTATTATTTCTTCCTCAAGCCCACAAACACTCATGTTGGTAGCCATTTCAAAGTACTTCCCAAAAAACGGGGCATGAACTGTAAAAAAAAAAAAAAAAATCTTGCGATGAATGAAGAATCAAGTTCAAGGAAATTTCAACC